CTATTTTGTGGTATGAAACAGTAAATAAACTTGCCAATTAATATAATTAATTAATTATTATTGTAGGGTCAAGAGGGGACCAGATCAGGTCAGTATCCTTACTATCAGTAACTATTAGTAATCCAATCATGTGTCCCCACGTGTCAGCTTTTTCTTTTTATTTAAATTAAACACCGAGGGGCACTAAGGTAAAAATGCACCCCCTATTTAATGATGTCTCTGACGCGCTGACGCTGACCAGATCACATCAGCGCCTTCTCTATCCTCAAACAACCTTTAATTTTCCTTCTCTTAATCTTTAACGGACGATTTCTCACTCGTTTTAAGTCGGAATTTAATTTTTTTTTTTGCACAGTTAGATCAGATTAATTGTGCTCTTCAAAATGATATCCACTTTGATATTTTCCAGACATAAAAAATTTTGACAGTTATTACCAGTCTATACCATATGGTAATGACTGGTATTGACCATACCATATGGTATGAAAAAATTTGTCACATCAATATATATTACGTTACCACCCAATACCATATGGTATAGTGTGGTAATATCAATATATATTTCGTTACCACCCAATACCATATGGTATAGTGTGGTAATATCAATATATATTTCGTTACCACCCAATACCATATGGTATAGTGTGGTAATATCAATATATATTTCGTTACCACATAATACCATATGGTATAGTGTGGTAATATCACACAATACCATACAATACCATATGGTATAGTGTGGTAATATCAATATATAATTCGTTACCACACAATACCATACATTACCATATGGTATAGTGTGGTAATATCAATATATAATTCGTTACCACACAATACCATACATTACCATATGGTATAGTGTGGTAATATCAATATATATTTCGTTACCACCGAATACCATATGGTATAGAGTTATAATATCAATATATATTATCTAAAAGAAAAAAAACAGAAGGAGGTAGAGAAAAATCGTCTTGTGTCGCCTCTCATTTCCTCTTCCGCAATCAAGAACACCAAAATGCCAAAAAAATGAGAAAGATCGAAATTGAGGCCAACGAGATGATGAAGAGAAGAAATGCAATGAAAAAGAGTGGCTCCAATTTTTATTCGTCATGTAAAAAAAATAAAGAAGAAGAGAAAGGAGCAGATTTAGATCTAGAAATGAGATTGAGAGAGAAAAAGGAAGAGAGAAAGAGAGAAGATCTGGAAAAGAGATTGGGAGAGAAAAAGGAAGAGAGAAGGAAGATAGAAAGTTGCAGAGAAGTGATTTATCTTTCCTTCTTTAAAAGTGCAGCCATTAAATACGAAATAAAATAAAATAAAAAATTTAATGTATAAACGGACAAAAATAACCTTCCCTACTCAGCGTCCGGCCCAACCATACGATTGCATGCCTCTTAGATCTATGGTCCCTATTCATTACTGACATGTCAGTAACCAAGTGGTTACTGACCCTATCTGCTGCCGATCAAGAGCATGACACTTGTTTTTTTTCATATTCTGTAAGCGTGAGAAGGTTGCAAATGCAAAGAAAATGTCATATGGTAAAAATCTTGTGCATGCAATTTAAATCACTGGAAAGCACACGCATTGCACATCTCGTACTATTAGAGGAAATAATTTTCTGAATTGCTATTTATAGCCCTAACTTTTTCTTATTTATAGCCCTAAGAGAATATAATTACTATTTTACCCTTCCTTCCTTTTAAAATATTGAACTTGTTACAACTCCAACCAAACACTCCCTTCCCTCCCAATTCAACTCGCCGGATTCTTCCCAGATTCCTCCCAAATATTCTCGCCGGCGACGACGAGCTCTCGTCGGCGACGACGAGCTCTCGTCGGCGACGACGAGCTCTCGTCGGAGACGTGACTCGCCCCTTCTCTCCTGTCGTCGGTTTCCTCTCAAATACGACGACCACCTCTCCCCGAAGACGACGACCTCTCGCCGGAGACGAAATCAGAGCGCTTCGCGAAGGTAATTTTTAATTTTTGCACGAAGGAGGTAACGACCGGCCGTTTGACCCGCCGCCGGCAAGGGCGACATCCTGCCCAGGCGTCGCCGACGACGGACGAACGTCCGGCAGGACGTCGCCCTCGCCGCCGGCGGTCAAACGGACGTTTGTCCGTCGCCGACGACGTCTGGGCAGGACGTCGCCCTCGCCGGCGGCAGTCAAATACATTTTTTTTTAATTTAGGTTAATTATCTATTATAATTATTATGATTTAATGTAGGTTAATTATATACTTTAAATTAATTTAAAAAATTACTTTATTATCTCCTTTAATTATGTAGGTTAATTATATGCTTTAATTATTATGATTTAATGTAGGTTAATTACTCTAATTATCTGTTTAAATTATGTATGTTAATTATCTGCTTTAAATATGTTAATATTTAATATATACGAAAATTATGTTGGTTAATGTTTTCATTTAATTGAAATTAGATAGGAAAGGTAAATTTTAATTGATAAATATAAGAAAGTTTAATAATTTAAATATAGAATTTTATTTCATAGTAAGTATTAATTGTTGTACGAACCTTAAATTGCAATTGACAATTTAAGCAAGAAAATTAAGTTAGAATTCATCGTGAAATACATTACAATTTTGAACATTATATTGTGATGGGAATTTTATTGTAATTGAAATTATATACGAATGTTAAATTATAATAGACAATTTAAGCAAGAAAATTAAGTTAGAATTTATTGTGAAATTCATTATAATTTCGAATATTATATTGTGATGATAATTTTATTGTAATTGAAATTATATACGAATGTTAAATTATAATAGACAAATATACGAACCTTGAACATTTGAATGTAAAAATTTATTATATGAGAACTAACAATTATCATAGGAACATTGCTAATATGAACATTGCTAATAACTATTACATGATGATAATAATCTGACAATAATTTTAATTCAAATTTTAATAGGTAGAAAATGGTGGATACAAGAGGAAAGAAGAAGTTGAAGGAGGTAGAGCCGTCGAGGGTGACCAACCGTATAGTATTGAGGTCGCGTCACGAGGAAGCCGAGAATGAGCGTCGACGTGCTAGACTTGTGGAGAATCCTTCTCCCCCGCCTCCCGTGCCTTTTGACTTATCGATTATGGGATGATGGTTTAGGGGCTCGCCGAATGGATTCATTCAAGTTGTCGACTAGAGCATTGGCAGTCAATTATTTGAAAGATTACAAATTTCAGAGTGAGGGTGCTGCAGCATTGGTTGAGAGGACAGGGTTGCGCAAGTTGTTGGACTGCTCGATCCAGCACTTGGACGGACCTTTACTTGTGGCATTTGGGGAGAGGTGGCAGCCTGACACCAACACCTTTCACATGCCTTTTGGAGAGATGACCATCACGCTCCACGACGTTGCAGTGTTGCTTGGGATTCCAGTCGGTGAAGATATGGTTGTAGGGAATGAGAGTGTGAAAGCACAGTTGTGTGAGATGCTGAGGGTCGAACAATTGAATGAACGATCCAAGCCTTCGCTTAAGAGTGGGGGTTTAGTGTGTGTTGAAGCTATGCAGCAGGTTGGGAGGTTTCGGGAAAGAGATTCTGAGGTACGGATGTTCTTGACCTGTTTGTTGGGGACCACCTTGTTTTGTGGACAGGAGTGGGGATCGGGCGCAGGTTTGGCCTCTCCAGTTCTTGGGGGACACTAGACGGGTGAGGAAATATTCTTGGGGGTCTGCTACACTCGCCTATTTGTATAGGCAACTCGGCATGGCGTCTCGAGCGGATTGCAAAGGCATGGGTGGCTGTTTGACCCTCCTTCAGAGCTGGATCTACGAGTACTTCCCGTGTTTACGAGATCAGAAGTTGGGGACACGTGGAGTGGTGTGCGGGGAACCTTTTGCTAAGAAGTGGGAGGGGGGTGAGAATTGGAGGTGGGGCACAGTTGATGAATGAGAGGTTGGATCACTATCATCGAGTACTGGATAATATGACAGATGAGTTTGTTTTTTGGTGCCCATTCGGCCTCAGACCTGGTGAGATGGTCTCTCGTTCTTTGTACTCTGGTGTCATTCGGTGCATGAGTGTTGAGGAGATGTATGATCCCTCGCGTTGCCTCCGTCAGTTTGGGTACGTACAGACCATCCCCTCAGATCCGCTTCCTCCAGTTGATGTTTGCCGATCTGCGAATGTCAAGATGTACTCCTTGTCCTACGGTCCCGGCTTGAGTGAGCTTTGGAAGGCCCCTCACTGCCACTCGGTGCAGTTGGATTCGATATCGAGACCTGTTCAAAAACCGGAAGATATTGGATTACAAGGGTTGCTTAAAGAGTACGACGAGGCGACTCCATAAAGTGGTATATGGGACGTACCCACCCGAGGATCGTCTGCCCCAGTGCTGCTGACCAGGAGATACACCACCATCTTAGTCATGATCAGGTAAGTTTAATTATGTTATTGATATTGTTATTCTGTACAAGTTTAAATATTGCATTAGTTATCGAATAACATACTAACATTTACATTTTTATACAGTTAGCTGTGAAGCTCGTCCGAGAGTTTCGCACTGTGATTGAGCACCCTTATGATGACCACCTTGATCTTCTTCTTGGATTACAAGGGTTGCTTAAAGAGTACGACGAGGCGACTCCATACCAGCCTCCACCTCAGTACTAGTGTTGTTCATGTAGTTTGAGTACTATGTAGTTTATTTCTATTTGGAGAACTATGTCGTTAATTTGGTGTTTGAGAACTATGTCGTTAATTTGGTGTTTGAGAACTAAATCGTTAATTTGTTGTTGGAGGACTATGTCGTTTATTTGTAGTTTGAGAACTATGTTGCTTATTTGTTGTTTGAGTACTAGTGTCGTTCATTTGATACTTTATTTGTATGTTTAGAACTATGGTAGTTTTAATTTAAAACTATGTTTACCAAAGACTACAAATATAAAGATAACATGAGTTACAAAATACTCCTTATTTACAACTATTTTCGTTATATACCAATACTACTACAAATATCTCCTACTAGTCATGATGACCCCCAAGTGCGAAGTAAAGATCTCGCTCGTCCTTGAACAACTGCTCCCACCCTTGAGTACTCATTTTGTCACGGAAATGGGTCCACAGGAAGGTGAATGGAGGCATTGGTATTGAATCCTCCTCAAAGTCAAGGCGCACCCAATGGTTGCCGGTGTTACAAAACACCAACACATTGCTAGGGCGAGCTACCCCTGGCTTGGCTATCATAGGTAAAAAGGTTTGTCCAAATGGAACACGTCTCCTCACCCCATCTTTGGTTTCGTCTATTTGACTGTAGAGGATTATGGCCCAGTTAAATAATGTTGCAACTACGGCGAGATCCGACTCAGTCATCCAATGATCCATTGTAGTACCCTCTGGCTTGTTCCACTGTAATCGTGTAAGAGCAAGACCCACATCTTCATATGCGTACTCACATTGTTGGATCGACATGACTTCATCTATAATAGCCTTTCTCACCCACAAGTGGTGATCCTCATCTCCATGAAGTGCATGTGAAAGAGCTCGAAATCCGCAATGTCCATCAGGAGCAGGGTCCCACCAACCAAGACATCGATCTCTGACACTTTCTGGGACGAAGCGAAAGTAAGGAAAAACATTCACTCCATCAATCTTGGTCATGGGATCCCTTTTCGGGCCACCTGTGGATGTAGTTTTTTTTAGTTATCTTATTGGCATATTAAACATACTTATTGAATATCAATGAATTTAACAAAACAACTCAAATTATTCAATACAAACCTGTAACATCTGAGGTTGATGTCTTCCTCCTTGTGCTCCTTCTACCTTGACGTGCGGCAGCGTGCTCATGCCAAGAAGGATCACGAGCGTTTTCCCTTTTAGGTGGCCAACCTTTTGCCTTCGTAGACACTCGTGGCTCCCTAAGGCCTTCCTCTTCGGGGTAAAGCTGACTCATTAATGCGACCTTGGCTGCTCGAACTGCAGATGGACCACATCTACACACCTCAGCCACTAGATCATGAAAAATCTGAAGATCATTGGCGTCATTTCTTCGAACCGTCTTGCATCATGAGGGTTAGCATAGTCCAAAGTAGACCAGAATGGTGCCAAGTGTGTTATCTGAAAATGGTCTCCCGCTCCTTTAAAGGAGTTGATTCGACAACTGCATGGGAGCCCATGTGTCCTCCCAATCACACAATCACATTCCGAAGGAGTCTTCTTTCCCTCTACAAACATCAACTCAAGCGCATATAGGCTTACACTTCCCCTTATAACGCCGTAGGGTGGTCCATAGGCTCCTTTGAATGTCTTTGTTCGACATGTCTCTAGCTCTTTCCTAATTTCGATCACTTGCCCCCCAATGCTAGCATGCCATGATAAAAATAATGTTAACTCCCCCAGTCGAAGTGTTTAACCAAGCTTTAAGAGTCGAGTGAGCCGATTCAACCCTATTCGTACTTGTGTTACCAATATGAAAAATATTGTTAGTGTAAGCACAAGCCCACTTCTCTTTATGCTCCAAGCACTCACGATCCAAGTATTCTATCAACTTACTATTCCTCCCCCAAAATCCATTTTTGAAATTTTCCCATTCCTCAATCATGGCATGTGGCGTGGTGGCTTCCATCACCTTCTTCCAAGAACCATGTACCACTCCTCGAGCAACTTCTTGTGGTATCCCCAAATCCATCATCTTAGCTTCAATGTTCCGCTTTATGTGCCATATACACAACAAGTGAGCCGATTTCGTGAAGACCTGAGGGATAGCGGCAACCAATCCTCCCTCCTTGTCAGTTAGAATTGCATTCGGTATGCGATCTCCAAGCATGTTCTGTAACTCTCTCAAAAGCCAAACATAAGAATCCGTGGTTTCCCCCTCCATCATAGCAAATCCAATGTTGAAGTTCCTCTTGACGGGGGTAACACCAATAACCTGAACCAGGGGCCTCTTATATTTGTTCGTCTTGTATGTGGAATCAATCAAGATTACATGGTACCAAGCACTCAACATCCGAACGGACTCAGGGTGAGCAAGAAAAAGGTGAGTAAGGTGGCGATCATCATCACGCTTGTAGCCAATGTAGTACCCCATCTCTCTCGCATGGTGTAACGTCCAATCCAAAGGGGTCATGCCACTCAATCTCTCAATCCTTATATTTGCTGTCATGTTGTAAAATTGTCGTTTGTTATGGTGAGTACCATACTTTTGGTTGATAGTTTGCATCATTTTTCGAGGAGCAACACGAGCCCATTCCATCTCCTTCATATCCTTTAGCTCTTCATTAGTAAAAGCATTCCTCTGAGTGTGGCCTTCGGGATAAAGCTCTAATGCATGGTTGTGAAACCCACAAAATTGTCCCGGATTGTGATTGTCCTTCACACCATCAATCATCCAAGTCTTATCCTCCGGAGTCCCACCAGTCTCACTCGAAAACGACAACCATCTTTAAGTGACTTTGTGTTGGATCGTCCTTTCTTATCCGGATCTGGGACATATGTATTGTTCTTATATCCACGATGGCAGTGAAGATATATTCGGGGGTACTTCTCGCCATCATTTGATTTGGTTGATGAATGTGTCAAAAAGAACCCAAGATCTTTTGCAATCACTTTCGCAGCTTCCATAGCTTCATTCCATGACTTATATCTTGTATTTGTTATGAAAAATTGAGAATAATCAACTTTGTCTCCTTATCTTTCGGATCTCCCTAAAATAAACACATTTATCTTATTAGTGACTAATTTTGAAATGTTTGTTGTAGATTAAATTATTCCAATTTGATATAGATTGAGTCTTACATAAGTTTCAACACTTTTCATGACTTGTAATGTTTGTTGTAAATTGAATTCTTACAATTTGAAAATGGATTGAGTCTTATGTAAGTTTTAGAAAATTTGATGACTTGTTTGCAATATTAGATTTTATATTTATCTTCTTATTAAAAAATATTAAACATGTTATTAACAATTATTCAATATTCGAACATAAACTAATCCAATACATTTTCAACAAAAAATTAGCACATTTAGCATGATTAACTACCAAATCCTAATATTTCAATATGCAATAAAAATTTAACAAGTAGACACGTACTCATTAAATTATCAACAACACAACGTTGTTAACAATTATTCAATATTTGAACATTAACTAATCCAATACATTTTCAATAAAAAATTAGCACATTTAACATGATT